TATTAACAAAATATTACAAAGCAATGGCATGCTGGTGACGTCAGGCGCGGTTATGAAGAAGAGCGCGATAATTTTTACCTACAGGATCATAGAACTAGTGAAACAATGGAAATAACGGCGATATACAGCAGTTCGGTAACCCGCAATTTCATCAATGCATTCCAAATTTGATGTGTTCGGTCATTCGTTTCAACGGAAACATAAAATTCGCAGATTAAAATTAATATTTTTGGCATTGCGACGCTAGCTCGAAACGAGTTTCACTGAAAAATTCAGAGCAATTTTCTAAATCCAGCTTACATGCGGCTATCGATTTAACGTAGCCCCTTAAAAATAGTTTCACAGAATGTTCTTACTTACCTTAAGTGGTAGTCTATTGCATCAGCTACTTTATTATCTAGGAAGCTAGGTGGGCCTAAGTTTCTATACAATGCTCCAATCAGCGTCATTCCTACGACAGCATTGACAGTGGTATACCTCTCTAGGGTATGCCCGAAGATATATCCTACAATCACAACTGCTGACATGCTGAATAAACTTTTGCCAGGTAGTACATCGTCTTGGAAAACAAACCATGCTGTAGCCCATATTGTTATACCTGAGAAAGTAAAATTAAAAAATAAATAATAAAAAGACCACGATAATAGACGTGAGTTACATTATGCTACGTTATGATTGAAAAGAAAAAGCATTTTGTTTAGTTTGTTGTAATTATTAATACAAAGATTGAACCAATCTGTATGCCAAATTAGGGTCATCGCTCTACCAACTGAGCTCACGAATATCTCTAAGTGTTTGTTACAGGTCTTTTGTATTGCTCTTATCGCCGTAAACGCCACTTGTGAGAGATTTATGAAGCTTTAGTTTTTTATCTCAAACCGTATAAGCAGGATCAATATATAAAAATCGTTATTTGAAATCGCATCAAGTCGGGTGACTTTGGTAGTATGGACACTTGACTTCACGCCATAAACACTGGCGCAGCGAGACAGCGCGCGCGCGCCCGTTTCTTTTATGACCACAAGAGCTCTTTAGATAGTTTGAAACACAGGGTTCAAAATAATTTGTTTTTTAAAGTTAAAAAAATATTTATTTTAATATGGCGTTGAAATGTTCTAAAATAATCAAGATAACTTATCTTAAAAATTTTGCAAATGGAAAGTTTTCATTCTATTTAATTCTACGATAAGGTACAATTTTCATATAAATTATTCTTTCATAAAAACAACTCATATTTTTAAGATTACAAAGAAGCATTTTTTACCACGAAGAATTCAATTTAATAACTTGTCTTTGATCTATTTGACTTCTATTAACATAACAGAGCCCGTTTTGTTGTTGCCGGTAACAACGAAAAACAATTTTACATTAACAAATTAGTATTATTTTGAAAACGTTGCACAACAGAGGAAACGAACAGACTAATGACTACATTATGTTGTGGCTAACTGTCGCGAATTTTGTTTTGAGAAAAAAACCTTTACCATTGTAGATACCGTTTACTTATAAACAGTGTTGCGGTTGCCTACATTTAAAAAATGCGATTTAATCGAATGGAGACCGCAACGTAGTATACAAAATAATTTTTTCATTAATTTGTCATTGACACAGAAATAAGATGAGCAACCAAACGTTTGTAATTGTAGTCGGTACGTAACAGATTCAAAGTGAGAAAAATACACTTCCGGACACACAATTCGAGTTCCTTATATTTTCAGTATTAAATAATAATAATAATAACGCACACTCTCAACATAGCCCTGAACTAGGGAAACCCTGTGTCGTAGGTACCATGGACAACCTAGACACATAGACCACCACAAATTACACCCAAACTCACGAGAGAAATAAATGTAGGCCATATAAATATTTCTCCCGGCCCGGGGATCGAACCTGGGACCTCTGCGTGTCAGGCATGGTAACCGTTCGGCCACAGAGGCAACTAAATGTTCTAAGTTTAAATAATGTTTAATGGATCAAAAAACTAATGTGAAATTTTGGGGGGAAAGAATAGTCACAAAGCTGCCAATAAAACATCTTAGTTTTAACATTACAATAAGCTTACTATAAGCGCGTTATGGTACGAAAAGTCAATGTAAGGTTAAAGTAATATTGTTTTAAGAGGATATGGTAGGCCCTCTGATATAATGCTAAACGTCAATTTCATAAATTATTGTTGAAAACACGAATTTATAAAACCGGGGAAACTTTTTCTTCGACGATATCAATGATTTTGTATTCTAACCCTTTAAGAATAAACGCACCTTTGGTGTAATAGGCCTCATGTGCAAAATTATAACTTATCAGGAGAGAGAGTTAAACATAAAAAAAGCATTTTTGACTTGTGGCTTTATTATATCAAGGTCACGGTACATAAAATTTAGGGTTGCTCGAATTGTGTCCGGAAATGTAATGGACAGCAACAAGAGCAATGCTTAAACCACGTTGTTGATACATGTGAGCGGAATAGGTTTGAATTAATAATTGAATACACTCACCACATAGCGCCACTGCTAGGTATTGTTTCAACTCACGCACGGGAGGCACCGCCTCCAACAACTTGTTAAGACATTGAGTCCTCTCAACCTTTACAATTTGGCTTCTGTAACACGAAAAAAAGGCTATAACAAGTTTTCAAGAGCTCCTGAACAGTAGAGAAACTCTGACATCGAACCCTTGGTATAATAAAGTCACATGTCGCGTCGGTGTTTTGTAGAAAAGGTGTAAGCGTCATTTATAAAAAGTTTAGAGAGGAGCATATTTTAGTTTTTCACTTCTATTTTAAAATATTTACGTCCTGTTTGAAATTCAATTTGAAAACTTAAACTTAATTAAAACCCAAATGAAATTTTAAAACAGGACGTAAATATTTGAAAACAGTCCTTAAAACCAAAATCTGAATTTTTCTTCCAAATGTCGCTTTTGCCTTTTCTACAAAATGCCGACGATATGATGATGATGAAAAGCGCTTTTGTCACAAGAAAGTGATAAAAATAGTAGGAACAACATGAAATGTTATTATGTAACCATAAAAACGTCACTGTGTAATGTAGTTCGTAGAATCTTTAAACCTCTCTCCTGAAACGTCATAATTTTGCCGATGTGGCTTTATTACTTCAAGAGTTTGATATATTTCATTGTTGCAAAAGTGAACTATCAATCAGATTTTTCCTTTAGCTTTTCGAGATTTATTTTAAAATGTCATCATAAATCTTGAATGTCTTATGTTATATATATGTATGTGATAAATTTGCCAGTGGTTGATGTGAATCCGAAATAGACTGAGGACAAAAAATTTAGTCGCTTTATAGTAAAAGGTAGTGGTACAATTATACCCGGCTATACAAGGTGTAAACGTGTAAATGAAAATACACCGACGTTTTAGTGTTCTGCTCGAGGTAAAAGCTGCCATCAAACTGAATGACTCTTCTATTACTCGGGACTAAACATTCCTGTGTTCGTACATATTGGATTTCCAAGAAAAATACTCAAGTTGATATAATTATTTTGTTTGAAATGAACATATAGGTTCTCTGGAACATTTATTTATATTTTATATCCCTTGTACTTGTATGTGTAATGCAGTGCGTTATTGTAAAGTTTATAGTGTCACATAATTTATAATGGTGAATATTTGTGACTAGCATGTCAAAAAAAAAAACAAAACAAATGATGTTTTTAATATCAATATATAGAATACGGACTTCCCAGACTATACAGACTTTATAACAAGTGCAGTGAGTTTGTGGATATTTGGTGCATCAATATCTCGTTACCAAACACCGTACAAGATTTGTTTTACGTGAGTTGTAACTGTGGCAACACCATGTAATGTCTTTTATAGTGCAATAATTGTAAACGTGTGAAGTCCCCAACCCGCATTGGGCCAGTGTGGCGGACTATGGTATAAACCCTCGTCTGAGAGGAATCCCATGCCCAGCAGTGTGACGTATAAAACGTCTCAGGATCATAATGACGGTAATGATATAGTTGTAGAAGTAATATTACAACACACGTGTTGTTAACGTTGTCTATTTCAATTAATATTTTTCTTCCTATATGTAAATTTATCATTGTTTTTCAAAATGTACGTAATGCTATGCACATGGTGTTCCACGGCTATGCAACACGAACATAAAGTACTTTACATATAGTATATTTAACTTCATGCAGACATTATTTTATTTTTAAAAGTAAATAATACTGCATTTAAATTTAAAAGTTGCTTGCTTCATCTGGCAATCGAACCGAAAAAATAAACGTAAAAAAAAACATGCTGTTTTTTTAAACGGCTGATCGAAAAGGTCAATTATAAGAAATAATTCCTTTTAATAACATCGTTACTGAAATCAAAGGAACATCATGAAATTTTACATTTAGATTTAGAAAATGAATTGTAATTTATTAACTGCCTTGGTGGCGGAACGGTTAGGTATCTGTCATGCTGGTCTGGCACGCAGAGGTTCTGGGTTCGATTCCCGGGTCGAGAGAAATATTTGTATGGCCTACATTTATTTATCTCGTAAGTTTGGGAGTAAGTAGAATATTCATCATAACAAGATAAGAAAAATTACGAGCAGGGAACTTACTTACTTTGACATTTAGAACAATTGATAAATTAATTGCAAATAGTCGCTTTACTTTATCAAACTCGTATCTTAAAGCACAAAGTTATTGAAATGCAAAAGATGTATTGTACATACAAATTTTGCGGGCTGATTTCACATCACATTTCCTTCATATTCACGCACTGGCTTTTACCTATTCTTAAAGTAATGCATCGAAATTAACATCCTTAATAAGAAATTTAAAATAAATAGAAAGTTTTGCCAATAGTCCCTCTTTATAAGACGTGAGTTGCAAAAAGTAAGGCATCTAAATATACCGTATACATTGGCAGTTTCAAGTTAGTTCCTTTTTCTTTTACTAAATTGTATAATTTTAAGGTGTTTCTTGAATTAGTCAGTAAACAGTCAGGGGTAATAGTAATTCCATAACGTCGACTCCCCGAGTTACTATGATCTCTAATCTTTTAATTTTAAACTTTTAAATTTAGTAGCAGTAGAGCTTCCTGCGAAAGAGTTCGTCCAGGGTAGTACTGCCACCTTACCTATTTCTGCCGCCAAGGAGTAATATCAGCATGACTGTATTCCGGTTTTGAACGGTAAAGGTGCTGGTGAAATTACAGGCACATGGGACTAATCAACTTATGTCTCAGGTTGACGGGCGCAGTGGTAGTGCCCCTAAGATCTTTGTAATTTAAAGCTTTGAGTAGCACTGCAACTGTTATGGACAGGCGTGTGGCTTACGATCATGCGCACGACTTGTTCGTCCCGTCACTTGATGTTATAAAAAAAAGGAAAAATCTGCTTCTTCCGAGACAGTAGTACCGTACACCTAAATTTTCTGTCTCAATGTCCACTTTCTCCTTGCCCTTTTTACCACTTTCTCACTCAGAACCCAGAAATAAAATAACTTTACCCTGGAAAGCAGGGAACTGCCAAGGTGGACATGTATTTTCCCTAGCTTCTAGCTTTAAAAGTCTTTGAATGCAGTATTACTCCCTTATCAAAATAAAATAATGTCTCATTGAAGCAAAATATTCCATCTATAATATTTAAAGCAATTTCCCTGTGTGTTGTGTAGCCGTGTTTGTAAATAACTAGTTGTGTTTGACTGTTACAACCTTTAATTGTGTCAACACTTTAGCACTACATATTGCATTTGAATTGTATAATCAAATTTTTTATGTAGGTACTTAAGTACGCTATGATGGCCATTTTGACGTTTGTCCGTTCATCAAGTTGAAGGAACTAGTTGATGTATATTGTTGTCAATGGTGACGTGCAGTAAAATTTAAGGATGTATGATTTTATAACTCAACTCGACATTTGTTTTTCGAAATTTATAAAAATGAAATCTAATATGATCGCCACTTATAGGATCGCTGTCCAGCATAACTTCTATCTCCGGCAAACTCGCGTCTAAGCTCAATGCAAAACAATGCAGTTTCGAATTGACGATATATTAAGTAAACATTTTTATTTTAGTTTTATTAAAACCTTTTAATCAGCTACCCCTTGCAATACTAGTTGTAATTTTAAAAACTTATAGATTCGACTCGCATTTGATTACATTTTTTTTCGATAACGAATTGAGATTTGATCTCACTAATGTAATCTATTAAAACGGCCATCACAGCGCGCCGGTACTGTAGTTGTATGAATGGTTGGTTGTCTTAACCTTGTTTATTAAAAAGAAAAATTAATTAGATATTAGGTCATGGACTGCACAAAAGGAGCCTTCCCGCGCGATTCTTTTTCTATATGTCTGGCGCATCTTGGGAAACAATCAGCGAGTATCTTACGCCGATTTGCAAATCCTTTCATTGCGATGGCAAACATTATATGAGTCTTAGAATAATAACGCATAGAAACCTAGTTCGTACACGCTAAGTGAGGTAAATTGAAGCGCGCCCAAAGGGCCTACACGAGCCTTCAGCGCTCAATGTCAACTTGCACCGCGAACAGCTCAAGAATTCTAGCTATAAATGTGCGGCAAATGAGTGTAAAAATACGCCAGACAGACATAAAATAGATACTGACATCACATTCCACAAGGGAGTAACGCGTTTCAACTTGTATTTTTATATAAATATTCACTAAAACCGAAAATTAACCTACTACTAAAACTAGTCTACATGAATTTGATTTTTGCCTCACTTGTGACAGTTCCTTTGATATGAAACTATCATTCTATGCGTTATTATTCTAAGATATGAGTGTACTGTATATTGTTTACTCCAACCATGCCTCCGTTTCTTTTGTGCTGGTGATTATAGTACCGGCACGCTATGTTGACCGTTTTGACGTTTATCTGCTCATCGAGTTTCGTATTAAGTTATAGCTGGTTTATGTACATTGTTGTCTATGGTGACATGCAGTAAAATTTATGGATACGTTTACGACACAGCTCGGCCATTTGTTTTTCAAAATTCGAAATTTAAAAAAATGGAAACTTAAAGGACCGCTGTTCAGCACATCTTGTACCTCCGGCAAACTCGCGTCAAAGCTCAACGCAAAACAAAGCAGTTTCGAATTGACGATAAATTAAGTAAACATTTTTATTTTCGTTTTATTAAAACTTTTTAATCAGCTACCTTTGCAATATTGGTTATAAATCTAAAAACACACAGTTGTGACTATCTACTCTCCATGCTTTTAGACTTTTTTTGAAAATTTTCTTTTTATGTTTTTGTTCTTTGTTGGTACTGAAGTTGGCTGTTTTTTGTTGTTTATAAAAAGTACAACTTCTTCTTCTTGATATCCTTATGTCACGCTACGTGGGACCGGCACAACATGTATTTTTCTTCCACTCTCCCCTATCAGCCGTCATTTCCATACTCACATCTTTCTTATCCATGTCAACTTTCACACAATCCATCGATTTATGAAAATTAGAACTCTACTGGATTATGTGAGAAATTTATGAATTTACCAAAATAAAATGTAAACCACCTCTCTTTGTATTCTACCAATCATATTTTATAAGCTTATTGTAATAGACTAAGTTGTTGTTATTTTTAGGCAACACAATTGATGGACGTAAGACCTAGTATAGGGGGTTCTTAGTTTGGGAGGTAGACACATCTTTGTACTTATTTTTCTGTGTTTTGCAATAAGGATATTAAAGAAGAAGACGTAGTGTATGCCATCATTACATAAGAAAAAGAAGATTTAATTATTACACACTGTAAAGATTTTCATTTTGGTATTATTCATAAAAGAGCAGTTGTGTTTTGTTTAAGTTTGTTTCCGACTGCTAAGTTTGATGACCTGTATATGACATAGAAGTTTTATATCTGCGCTAGCACAGCGTCGCGATTGCGGCAAAACTTCATTTATTATAGGAGTTCAGAGGGAATAAATATGTAGACTAAAATAGCATGAAGTCGCGGGCGACCGCTCGTTGGTGATATAGAGAAAACAAAGGCAAATAAGGCCGTAAACTTAAGGTACGAAGAATTAATAGGAAGGGTCCCATTATAAAAGAAACATTTTCAGGAAACTTGAACATGGTTAAAATTAAGTAGATAAATACTTACTCACGTTTTGGAGGGTCCAAGTTCGAAAGACGTTACGTTGTGTGGTCTGTTCGCGTCGAGTTTACCTGAAAGTTTTCAGTTCAATAACTTGTTACGTTATAGTGCATTGTTAACCAAGACATGTAAACTATTAGTTGAACCTAATGCACTTATTATACGTGAGGCGCACTATAAGTTTCCGGAATGAATAAGAAAAAAATACTATAAAAGGTCAGAAATGAATTCATTGTTTCTCGAAATATTCTCCGTTAGCGTTAATGCACTTTTTCATACGAATGAACCAATTTTGAAAACATTTATAGGAGTGGCAACTCCTCCCTGGCAATTCTGAAACATATTTTTCATACTCTTCGACAGCCTTTTCAGGTGATGAAAATTGTTGACTGCGCAACTGGTTCTTAATTTTTGGAAATAAATAAAAGTCACAAGGTGCCAGGTCGGGACTCTGTACGCGGGATGGCTCATAAGGTCAACGTTGTCCACCTTCAAAAATTCATTAGTCTGTCTGGCCGTGTGAGAACTGGCATTATCGTGGTGCAAGATGATACGGCGTTTACGGTTATTTTTACGGAGTTTGTCAATAGCTTCCGGCAAACAAATGGTCGTGTACCAATCACCATTCACACAAACACGCACGCACGCACGCACGCACGCACGCACGCATGCACGCACGGACGCACGCACGCACGCACGCACGCACGTACGCACGCACACACCCACTCACACACACACACAAAACACGCACACCCACACTCAAACACACACACACACAAAACACGCACACCCACACTCAAACACACACAGCCACACTCAAATACACACAGCCACACACAAATTGTGTTCCATGTACGTGCAAATACGTATTGTACTGATTTAGTTTTCTAACTTTTGTTATCTTTCGAGTTGTTAGGTTTTCGCGATTGTTACATATAGGAAATGAAACTATTTTTCCGGATTTAAATCGCGTATATTTGTTTTTTCAAACAAACCGGTTCGGTTTGTTTCAAAAAAACAAATATACGTGATTTAAATCGGGAAAAATAGTTTCATTTCCTTTTGTTATCTTTTCTTTTCTTTTTATTATTTTTGTTATGAAGTGTTAATAGTTATTAACTGCACCTTTGTCACATATTTCTAGATCGAGTTTGAGAGTGGGGGGTCGGAATACTGTAATACAGGGTATCCTAGTACAGATTCCGCTCTCTCACAATGGTCAAACACGTTGTCATTTCAACTTCTGTATGTATCTATTATAAGATCAATACCATTGTGATTGGAAATAAATGATTATTATAATTATATTATTCACGGTACAACGATTCTTCAAAGCAACAGTAGCCACGTGTCCAGTTTTATTAAAAAAAGAAGCAATCATCCGCTTAGAGGTACTTTCCACGCGCACCACTTTGGTTGGTTTCGGCTTATCTCGAAAGACCCATACGCTCAATTGCTGTTTTTTTGAGATCGTAACTATAAATCCATATTTCATCACCTATTACTACGTCTCACACCGAATTTGACGCCCCTTCGTTGAATCTGGTAAGCATGGCATTGCACCACATGGTATTTAACTCATGTCTGTGCCTAAGGATGCCCGAATGTAATGGTGTGTCACATGCCTGTCTGTTTTGATCATACGGCGCACAGCATCGATGTTTTTGTTGCGTTCACAGCAGCGCCCGCCCATCACGAAATTCGTCACTGAGATTCACACGACCGCGTTTGAATTCTGCAAACGAACCATAAATAGTCGTCTTGCTTGGTGCTTCATCGCCAAAAGCAGTTTGAGGCCGGGCGAAGATCCGCTGAGCTGTTCAATTACACTTAAAGTCGTAGAAAATCATACTACGAAAATTTTCACGAGTCTAATCTATGGTGATGTAAACAACCAATTTCTAAAATGTCGCCACTATGTAAAAAGAAGTGACAGTCAGATGAAACAAACTGTGTTCTACAGCCAAAGAGTTCCATTTTCAAATGTTGTAATTACTTTTTAAATATTGTTTATGTAAGTGGCCAGTTCCGGAAACTTATAGTGCGCCCTATGTAGTCATGTGCGTGTATCTGTACACTGTTTAAACACTTTACTCTTCATCGGTAAAGTGAAATTATAATTATTTTGTAAAATGAAATACAGAGACCTTTGCCGAGCAGTGGGACACAACAGGTTATTAAAAAAAATTAAACACATTATAAAATAAAATAAAAATAAGTCGACGTTATTTGACATGTGCGTGCCAAATAAATTAGAAACATTTAAAGAAATTACATAAATCCTTCATAAATACAAAGAAAAAACTACAATAAAAGAAAGAAGAAAAAAAGTTAAAAAGAAAGTATATACTTAAAACAAATAAACAACAAAAAGCATGTTAAAAAGGTCCAAGGCATCTGAAGAATATGCTAATTACGTAGCCCTCGCTGATATTCTGCCATCGCGTCATAAAATGCAACACTACAATAAAAAAAAAGTAAAATCGCTAATAATCAACAACGTGTCAACCAACACGATCATAATTTTGAGAAAATAGCGAGTTATGATTTTTTCGTCGTTTAGTTAATTAATTTATGTCAACGTTTTTACCATTTTTGTAATATTTGTAGGTCTGAAATCAGTTAGTGTATTTTTGTAAATCGTAGATCAGACGATAAGCTACAATTTGGCATTAAAATCTCGGTTTACGAGTTTTTGTGGATAAACACATTAAACTTTTTGCATTACCGTTATCCTAATTTTAAATTGCAATAAAGAACATTTCATTCATTATTTTGGTCATTCATTCCTGGTTTTACAGGATTATTAGTTGAATACTGAAGTAATGTCTACCTTTCGATCGATTTACCCAAATGGATATTAATCTAAATAGACCAAAGTATTCACATGTAAACAAAATTGTCTCAGAGGGGTGCTTAACTTGTTACGTATTTTGTACTGGTATGTGTTAAACGAGCTCTACAATTTGTTATCTACAATGTGTATATGCCATTTACTTAAATTATCATTAACTTGGAAAATCGATTGAGCATTAACATTAACATCAGGTTCCCCAATACTTTCGTTATTCTATATAGTGGGTTATTTGTAAAATCAGAACAAGAACTTTTGTTCCGTGGCTTCTAATAATTCAAACATTTCGCACAAAAATAAGAATATTTCAATAGATCGCTCTAAAGGGTGATAATTCTGTGCGATTGCAAAAGCTCTTGCTTTAATACCAGTCCAATGCAAAACGCAGGAGCGGGGGTGGGGGCTGTCGTGAGGACGCTTAAACATTTGAACTAACCACCTTACTACCAAACACTGATTTAATGAGTGTCAGATAGTACAATTAAAACTTTAAACTTTATTTTTGGTGAATTTAATTTGTTCTGTAAAATGTTGTTGCCTATGATGTTTGTAATATTATATTTGACAAACAACCCTCTACAATGGTACATTAGCAAATATTTAATGTCAAACATGAACAGTGATACAGAAGGAATCAATGAATACACGTTTAAATAGTATTAAGTTTCTGGAAAATTTGGTTAGACATAACAGCTTTTACAAGATGAACGAGTGTGATTATTCAAATTATGAAATTTAAACAATTGCTTAGAAAAATCTGTTAGTTAAAAACTGTCTTTAACTATGTTTTTTTATGATGCCAAGTGGCGGGAAGAACAAGTCGTGCGCCTGGTAGTAAGCGGCACGCCTGTGCATAACAGCAGCAGTGTTACGCACAGCTTTAAATCACAAAAATCTGAGGAGCATTGCCACTGCGCCCGTTACCCTGAGACATAAGTTGACAAGTCCCTTGTGCCTGTAACTTCACCAGCAATCTTACCCTTCAACATTGGAAAACGTTCATATTTTGGAAATGTGTCTTTTTTACTACAATATGTAATGTACACTCAGTTAACATTAGAAATAAGGACCGTATTGTCCTCCCTAGAATAAAAAGCACGATCTTTGACCGCAGCACCTATGTAACAGCGATCAGAATTTATAATAGACTTCAAATTGAAATAAAATGTTTAAATGGTGATAAATTTAAAGCTAGTTTCAAAAAATGGTTAAATGACAGTTTTTTTTTCAATCTTAACGATTTTTATATAAAGATATCAAATATTTAAGAATTGTCTATAAAACTTAATTATAATTTTAATTTGTTGACACAAGAGGTGTAATAAATTTTAATTCAACTGTAATTTAAAGATATTGTACGCCTGATTTGGGTAATAATTGTGGATCTAATTACATGTAGGTAATACCTTTATTTTACCAATTCATGCAATAAATGTTTCTGGAGGCCTACCAAAAACAAATTTTCAACAACAATTTCAAACCTACACCTTTCCAAAAACAATCATATTTCAATGTAAGCTTAAAGTAAATTTATTAAAATATTACTCATATTCGTACCATGACGAACCTGTCAACCAAGTAATGTATTATTGCAAAAGTGATTGAAAGAACGAATGATTTCCCAATATTGTCTATTCCTTACTAAAGATAGGAAAGAGATAACGCTATGTGAACTATGTAATG